AGCTTACACAAACCTGCCAGAGTTCCTGGAAATGCTGACGATTCCTTAAACCCGTCCCTTCTCCAGAAGGGAGCTCCCCACCAGGAAAAACAGCACTTCTGCCATGAGGATCATCCAGGGCAGTTCCTCCAGCCTGTTCTAGAGATCTGTCCAGCTTCCCCCAGCCACTCAGTCACACCCTGGCCCCCACGGCATCACACAACAGGAGTTTTAGGGAAGGGCACCTCACCGATACTTGGCCACGCAGTCGACCAGGCCCAGGTACTGCAGGGTCTCGTGGTGAACTCCACTTTCCAGAGCCTTCACCTCGCTGATGTCTTCCAAGACATGTTCCACACTGGATAAGTAGCCAGCCACGACATCAGCTTCACCCTGGTCCCTAGCTGCTGTCTCTTCAGACAGGAATATGGATTCCAAAGCTGAATGGAAGAGCTCTCCTTGGAGAAAAAGATCTAGGAAAAATGGGAAAACTCTCTCATATTTTAGACACTACTTTAGATTTTTAATGCTTCCTTTACTTTTTTAGTCTCAGTGATTACTCATACATACACTGGATAAACCAAACAGTTACTGAAAAACCTCACCATAAACAGCAGGACACATTGGTTTTTAAACGCTCAGGACTGTAGGAGTTCAAAATGCCTATTTCCATCTTGTTACAAAGTAGCTTTGTAACTGCAAAGAGGCTCAGTAACATCATCTGGAAAATACCTCTTTCTAATTAGATACTGGCAAATTGAGAACTAAAGGAAAGTCAGACAGGATTGAGCAAAGTATGCCTACAGTCTGACTCTCATTTCCCACAAATTTCTAAATCCATTTTAGTGGTCCCAGAACAAAGACCAGAGCTTAGGCTCATTGGTAACAGGTACACTCACAACATGCTCCCATGAAATGGAAACGACTTCATGGATTTCCAAACCATGGCCCATCATACCTGCCACCAACCCAAACTACTGCCCCTACTCTGCAATCACACTGTGGCTAGACTTACTTTTGGTGTACTCTTCGAATCCCTCTTTTCCAAGCTCCTCTATCATTTTCTGCTTCCATCTTTCCAGATAGAAAATTTGCTGAGGAGAGAGGGTTTGTTGAAGGATGCGGGTAACACTGGGCATCTTTGTTCTTTGCAACCCGATTTTCATGGGCACGTTTGAATCACTGCTGACAGGAAGAATTCTCTTGCTGGGGTTTATTAAAGGAACCCAGTTCTTGGGAGTTCTTGTCCCAGCTTTAACTGGAGGTGTGTGTTTAGCTGGTGGCCCGTATAACAAATTGTCTTCCTCAAGTATTGTCTCTGGTGTTTGGGCACTGGTTTTGTAAGATGTAACAGAGTGGACCAAGTTCTTGTATTTTTCTTGGTCAACTTGATCATAACTGTTTCCTTTTTTCTTTTTGCTATAAACACATGCAGAGGTAGACAGACACGTGTATGGGAATTGCTTTTGACAAAATGGTATTTGAAAAAGCACTTCCAGGCTCCCTGGCTTCCTGGACAGGATCTGTAGGAACTGCATCCTGACAAGAAGTGTTTGTGAGCAGTTAGAGTTTTCTTCCTTCTGTCAACAACAGTCTGTGGGTTACCATATTTTTTTCCTCCTGTGAAAGAAGAAATTTGTGTTTTACAGAGTCATAAAACTCTGCCACCATCCTATTTTTTTTTTGCCATCCTATTCTTTGTTTGCCCTTTGCCAAACAAAGAATTGCTATGACCAAAGTGTCTTCATTTACCTTCTATCACCTTTATTCTTCAGATAAATAAGATAAAAAAACAATGAGCAAGGAAAAGAGGAAATGCTCCTGAAAAAGAAGCCTGCCAAACCTGAAATCTGAAACACTTGAAGATTTGTTGCAAGTAGCTCAAGTTGCATCACAGGACATCCCTGCAGCAACAGTATCAGAATGCCATGGAAGTAGGCACAAAAACCAGACCTGCCACAATCGCCAAAAGGGGGAGGGGGAAATTAAAGCTACACAGAGGACATTGAAGCCAATCCACTGCTGTGAGGTATTAAAACTCTTAAGTTTATAGAGAATGACCAACTTAAGGGGATTGTGGGGCACCTTGCAGGGTATAAACCCACAATTTTCTTTTGTATCACTAGGAGAAAACAGACAGCAGCAGTATATACAATTGTGAGACTTGAAGCTAGAAAAGGCAAAGATGCACTGCAAATATTTTCAGATTCAAAGATTTTTTTTTAAAGTCCAGAAAAAAATATAAACTTATTTTTCCACACCAAGTTTCAATCATAGCTGTGCTTAAAGCCACTTAGGAAATTTAAAAGCAAGAACAGCATACAAGCAATGCCGTGCCCAGCACACCTTCCAGAGCTGCACTGGAAGCCCTAGGAAGTTTTTTGCACACGGATAAAATGTAACACTTCCACAGCAGCATTTCCCAGGAAGAACTGAGGCCCTAGTCTCCTACTGGAGTAACCTGTTTGCCATTCCAGAGTTCCCTCCACCCACTGCAAAGACAGAACTCCTGCTCACTGCCAGCCAACAGCAGCGTTCTGTTCCTGACAATCCCTCCAGCTGCTCTCCTCCTTCCCCACGCTCCTCACACAGCCCTGGGCTCCACGGGAAACAAAACCATGGCGAGTTACTTTGTGTGCACAGATCCCACAGATGCAGTGGCCCAGTGTGGGGGTGGGTGAGCATCTGTCACACAAGAGTTCCCAAAAATGGGGCAGCTGATTAGAAGAAGGCACCTGGCAGCAGCAGGCTGAGACCATAAATACCGCCCTTCATCGCTTCATCCGTGCAGAAAAATGGATCCCTTCCCTCTTGGGGCTCACCTCTAACTAGAGGTGCCAGAGCTGGGATTTCAAATAAAAGAGGAGAAATATATTCTCATTCCTGGGTGACAGTATCCAAGCTTGTGGATTCCCAGGCTGCTGTTTGGTGATTATTGACAGGCTCATTAATGGTCACTGTGGACATGCACTAATCAGAACAGAGCAAATGCAGGGCCAGTGGCTGTGGCTTTGTTACATAAAGCCACAGCACAAAAGAAAAAGTTTATTCTGGCTTTGTGCCACTGGAGGTAGCAAGAGGATGCCTGATTCAGCATAAATTCACTTGTAGTAAGCTGCTCCCTCAACACCTTCCAAGGAATAAATTTATACCAGATCAGTGTTTTGAATCACGGAGCTACTGAGATATGGAATAGTACGAGCTCCAGAGTTAAATTTAGTGCAACACAGTGCTTCAGTGACCAGCAGGAATTTTGATTTAACAGCCTTTGTTGTGCTGGGGAATATACCTGTGGAATTTCCAGTACTTGTGGAAATGTTTGTGCAGTGTATGAACAGAACCATGAGGAAAGGAAGAGTTTTCCAGCTGCTGTCCTGTTTTACAAAAGGAAAGAGGCTCTAGGATTGCTAAGAAATAAGGAACTCTTGTGCCCTGCTGAATAAAGAATCATGTGTTCTTCAATAAATCACTAAAGTGGCATTTCTGTACAGATAACTTACAAGAAAGAAATGGAGTGGTCGGGATCTACTCTTGTACACAAAGAACAGAATTTAATTGAGATTTCCCTCTGGGGAAGTGCCTCCCTTCCTTCTGAAACCATTTGTGGTTGAAGACTGGCAGAATTCCTTCAAGTGTTGCATGACGAGCCACAATGGAGAACTGAAAAAAAATTAAAATAACTTGGAGCTAAAAAAAAACCCCAAGAGGACTTTACTCTCCCAAGCAAGTTGACTCTGTAGCTCCAACAATAACTGAGCTAACACAACTGAGGATTTTTTTTTTCCAGTATAGGAATGAGTGTCTTAACTGAAGGAAATAGAAAGGTTTACTTAAGGAAAAGTTCACACCTATAAAAACCTACCTCCAGCTGTGTTTTTGCATAATAACCAGCATGGCTTTTTCTCCACAGAAACCTATCCAGCTAAAAAAAACCCAAAACACTGGCTTATTTCAGAGGTAACAAAAAAGAGCACTCCTAGACACACCTACAGACCTGTTGCCCCTTGTCCCTAATTTGAGCAGAACAAATCCACTGAGGAAGGTATAACTGTGAGATCCCTGCAGTTTTCAAAATACATTCTTGAACCTATCTGGGTTAAAATACGCCTCCCTCTTTTGGGATGTTTAGAGCACAAAGAGAGACAACTCGGCAACCCCGTTTAAAGCACAAACCCACACTTGTGAGCTTTACTTCAGGGTAGCTTCAACAGGCATCAGTTCCCAGTTCAAGCTCCATTCCCAGATCAGCACTGGGAAGGGAATTCGTGGGAAATAGGGCTGTAACACGAAGTCAGCGCTTTTGGCGATTTGTGAAAGAGCTGGGCCAACACCAGTGACCACCAAGTGCCCTCGGGCAAATAAACTTTCTGCGTGTGTCCGAAAACCCCAGTGCCGCACAGCCCGCCCGTGTGCGGAGGGGGAAAACCCACTCTGGACAAGGAGCCCCGCCGGACGCGGGCATGCCCAGCCACGGCAGCCCGGCCACGCTCGCTGACGGACCCGGGGGCATTGTGGGCCCCGGGAAGAGCGGCACCTTTCTTCTTTTCTTCCCCTCCCTTGTCCTTCCCTCGCCCCCAGGCCCGCCCGGCCCCGCGGCCCTCACGACCCGCGGCTCCGCGTTACCTCAGCCGCGCTTCCCGCCACCACCGCGGGCGCCACCGCGCAGGCGCGCCCCGCCCGCCGCCTCTGCCGCGCTCATCGCCCATGCGCCGCCCGCTGCCTCATGGGACTTGTAGTTCCCAGCACGGCCAGCCCCCAGCCCTTTCCCCTTTGTTGAAGCGCCCCGAAAGGTAGAGAGGGGGGTATACCTGTTCTATGTCGCGCTCTTTTTGTATTTTTTGAAAGGCTGTAAGGAAAACAGCCGAAATCTTTAAATGCAAGCCGAAAAACTAAAGCGTTGTGGTGCCGTCTTGGATGAAGGCAAGAAGCGCCCTGCCCTCACCAAAGATGGCGAGTGCCCCTCAGGGGGTGTGGCGGCGGCGGCTCCGCCCGGGTTATATGAGGAGGAGGTGGCGGGGAGGAGCAGAAAGAGAAAGGTGTAGGGTGGTTGTCTGCGCCTGGAGATATGGCTCTGCTCCGTGGGGACGCGCAGGACAAGGTGAGGCTGGCGGCCCGAGTCTGGCTGGGGCGGGCGGTGAGGGCGCAGCCGAGCCGGCCCCGCGGCGTGAGAGGGAGCTCCCCGCTCCCTCTGCCCCCGGCAGTGCTGGGACGGTGACAGGTTTTCGGCTTTTGCTCCGTTTAGGACTTTTTTAAAAAGACGATAAGTCGCCTTAGTCCTCGTGCCTTTGGCGCGCCGAGGTCACCTGAGGGCAGGGGGTCGGAGTGGCCGGGGCCAGCGTGGGGAGCAGCCCTGAGGGGAGAGGTGCCCGGGGAAAGAGGAGCGGGTGGGAGCATTAAAGCCGGAGAGGAAAGGAGGAAGAGGAGGGAAGGGCAGGGCTGTGCAGCTGCCGTGAGGCGGTGCGGGCTGCGCTCCGTGCCGAGGCGGGAGCAGGTGATAACCGGGGAGCTGGGCCTGGCAGGTGACGGATGCAGGAGCAGGACCGGCCCCGGGCGCTGCGGGCCGGGTGCTGCAGGGGGTTAAACTTGCTCTTCGCCGGTGGGCCAGCTGCCCTGCCGTGTCTGTGAGCGCCTTCCTGGCTGTGTGCTCTGCGGTAATTAGGCTGTCAGCTGTCACTTCACCTGCGGTGCCCCTTTGCCTTGGTTGTCACATCAGCAGCTCGCTTGGTCTTCCTTTCTCCGGAGAAGTGTTGAAGCTGTAGGTGCCAAGGAGCTTCATGGCTTTCCCTTTAAAGCAGCACAGGGGATTTCCTAATGTTAAGACTCTCAACTTCTCAGAGGAAATGCAAGTGAAATGCTGAAGCAGGAACTTTGTGAATTAATGTTTATGTAGCGTAGACAATGATTGGAATTGTCTCTTCTACTGGACGAGCTGCTTGGGCTAACCTACCTAAACTCCCTGGTTTAATAACTACCCTCAACACACCTTGAGAAGAAGGCAAGGCAGCCCTGTAAGAGTCAGCAAGTTGCCTATTTGCCTTTCATATTGTCACATCTGCATGTGGTTTTGCATTGTGACTAAGCTCACTGGCAGGAAGATGACTTTGCTTTAAGCTGTTAGGTGAGCTGGAAATCTCTTCAGTCTGGGTTTTCTCCAGCTTTTTGGAGCATGTATATTAACTGACTTGGGGGCTAGAAATACACCAGCCTTTATTGACTTCTGGATAATTTCCTTTTCTCTGCTTCTTTCCCATATGAATCTTGTTTTGAAACAGTCCTGAGTCAGTAAGACAGGCAAGAGTTTGTAGAAGAAGCATTTTCTAGTAGCTTGCTGTGAGCTGGCCAGTGCTTTCTTTTCTGCTGCATGTGAAACTCTTTGTATTAAAGTGTCTGCCCTTGGAGAATACTGGAGGGGAAGGTCAAATATCAACTCTCTTGCAACATTTGGTAACTATTGAGTGTTTATGTGCCTTTCTAACTCAGACAGGAATATTGGGGGGAGGGGAAAATGTTCTTGTGGCGGGGGCTGGAGTAGCTTTAAACTCTGATGCTCAATGGACAAAGATTAGCTTGTTTTAGGTTGTAGGGTTGTCTTGGGATTCCAGCAGCACGGGGGAGGATAGAAGTGCTCCTATCTTGTCTGTTCCTGTTTAAGCAAAGAAACAGCAACATGGAACTGGGGTGTGAGCAGTAGATAAAACTCATGCCTGTAAAGGAAACTTCATTAGGAATTAACTTAAATAGGAGCCACTGTTAAGTACAAACTAAAAACTGACCCTGAGGTGGCAAAGCAGGAGAGGATCAGGATATGTAGGAAGAGGAAGGGAGGGTAGGATAAAGGTGATTGAAAGTGCAGTGGAAAATAAGGTGTAATCTGTCAGGGGGGAGGAAAAGGCACTTCAGAATTTGAAGTGAGTGGTGGGACTTCCAAGCTAAGCTTGAGTAAATACCTTGGTATTTCCTAATGTCACTGGCTTCATGGTATTTGAAGGCTTCAGTCTGCAGTTGAAATGTTCTAGATCAAAATGCTAAGAGCATGTATTGTAGCACCTCTTTCACACAGCAATCAGTGGAAGACAAAATGTTGTGTCATGGCCTGGGACTTGCTCTTATCACTCACAAGTGGTGGCTCTGCTGGACAAATTCTGCTGCACATTCTGGAAGGAATGAGACCGTACTGGATCTTGTGCTTAGCAAAAAAACCTGCTTCTGCTTGCTGCTGAGCCTGAAATGAAGCAGGGAGGTGAGCTGCTAGCAAGGTGCCAGCTCCTGGACAGGGATAATGGCCTCTCAAGGACACGCAGCCTCCACGGGGCTGGCCCGGCAGTTTGGGCTAGCGGGAGGTGAAGCCAGCACGGTGAGGCTGCCCTGTTCCTGACACTCCCTGCCACCAGCTCTGGCCTCACTGTAGGAGGTCAGCAAAGCGTTCTTGGGGAATGCTGACTGTGGCTTGGGGTTTGCTGCTGTTGCACCATTTCCATTTGTGCTGGGCCGGGAGTGCTCAGCCCCAGGCCGTGCTGTGCAGGCACACGGGGAGCTTGCCCTGCACGGCCAAAGCTGTGCTTGACTCCTCAACTGAGGAAGCCGTGCCTTGGCTGGAGGTGTCCTGCATGCTGCTGGAGGAACAGGGTGAGCCAGCGAGGCTTTTGCTCGGAATGTGGCATCCTTGAATGTTTGTAGAGTCCTTTCCTCTGTCAGGAGGTGTGTGACCTGCAAGTTCCTGCAGAGAGTGATGCAGAGATCCCTCTGGCAGGAGAGGGCCACTTTATTGCACAGCCTGAGGCAACAGATGCTCTGGGTCTTCTGCTTCCTTGGCAAGCACTGCATTTGCTGAGGAATGCCATTTCAGTGTGACTACACTGAGCTGTTATTCCCTCTTTGTCGGTGTTTTAAGCAAAATAATTCAACCTTTGCATCACTGGAGTTCTTCAGTTTGAAGTCACAAATTTGGGGAAGCATTTTCCATAGCATGAGTAAGCAGTGCTTCAATTTTCGTGGTTGTGTGTTACCAGACCACTTCAGGTCTGTTCAGCTCAGTGTCAGAGTGGTGACAGCAAATTGCCACAAAGGCTGCAAAATCCAAGCTTCACATGTGCTCTGTAGTGCTGCATGCTTGCAGTGCACTTTCAGATGTCCTTTTAGTATCCTGATTAAAAGGAAACTTAAGCTGCTTGTGCTGAATATGACTAAAATGTAGTTCCAGCAGCTAATGCTGCTGATATCTGCTGGCCAGATCCCCTGGTGGCTAATTCCGGGTGTCAAAACAAGGCCCTCTGGAACTGAGGGCTCTGTATAAACTGCCAGAAAACACCATGATCTTTTAGTGCTCTCTGGAGAGCACCTAAACAGCTTTAATTAGAAAGCCTGCTCTGTAAAGAGTAATGGGTTTTAGGTAGTGGCAGATGTAATTACTTCTGAAGTCTTGTTTGTGGGCTGTCGCTTGAATGACAGCAGGGAGGTGATCAGTAAGGGGAGAAGGTTTTTAAAAGGTAGCTGACAATTAGCAGAAAAGTCTGACATGTGAGCCCTTGTGGAAGGGCTCCTTGCTCTTCCAAGAGCCTGGCTATGTGGAAAACCCCTGGATTAATCTGTCTTTGACAACAAATACATATTTCACAAGCAGTCAGAAGTTGTACACAGTTGCTTGCACTGGCAGATTCTTTTGTTAGAATGCAGAAGTGACACCGAGTCATCCGGAGCTGATGCTAAAACTGCAAAGGGTGGAACTGTAAAAGCAGCAGCTCAGGCCTCTCACCAGAGCTGAGAGACTTCAGTGGCTGAGGGCATTTCCTCCCACTGGGTGTCTGCAAGCATCAAGATGTGTTTGCATTTGGGTGAGGCCTGATCAGAAATGTAATGTCTGTCAGGCAGAAGTCTGGGTAGCTGATGGTCATCACTGCCTTGTATTTAAGTGATCCAACTTTTTTTTTTTTTCCCTAGCATCTCTAACAAATAAAAAAAAAAAAAAAAAAAGGCAAATGTTCTAAAATTCTACCTGGATTGGGCACAGTAATGATCTCTGCTGTTTCCTGGGCTTCTAGATCAGGTGTTTATCATGGTATCCTAATTAGTACCATAATATCTATTTATAGTCTTTCAGCCCTGAAACCTAGAAATCTTAACTAGTATGATGTCTATGTTATTGTGAAGGGCTCTGATTTGTTCTGATTTACCAGTTGGACAGGTGGACAGTATCTGTTCTGAACAGGGAGTAGTTTTGCTTGAATCCTCAAGAAACCCTAGGAATCCTGAAACAAGTCTCTGACGAGTCCTGAGTTTAGAAGTGGGAGGTGTCAGAGAAGCTGTAACAGTTTCTGGAGTCACTGCAAATCAGAAGCTGCTTCTGGTGAAGAGAAATGAGAGTTGGAAGTGAGAGTACTGTGCTGGCTCAGGGAGAGTGTTTCAGTTTGCAGCCCAACCCAGCTGTTTCCATCCTGTGTGTCCTCTGTAACTATTTGGGCATCTGCTACCAGTGAGGAATAATTCTTTCCCAGCTGCTGAGCTTGGATTATATCCCTTGAGGGTATGGAGTGACAGACTGGTTTCTGGTAACTGGATGGGGAACTTTCAGTTCTCTTGCCCCACTGCTTGGAGTCTGGGGAGGAAGTAGTGATGTCCTAGCAGAGAAATGCCTCTGAATACGAAGGAGCTGCCAGAGAGTGAAGATGGAGGGGTGACCTGGGAAAGCCTTGTGTTGGATGCCTGCTGTAGTAAAAGGACAAGCCTGGGGCCTGGAGATGCCTGTTTAATTCCTTTGCTCTGCAGAGCCTTCGTGTGCCCGTGAGGAGGCTGGTCCCCATTCCTGCTTGTAGGATGGGTGCAGGAGAGATGGTGGCACGAAAGGTCCTGCATGCAGAGCAGGTGCTTGTGTGGGTCAGGGGTTGCTGTGAGACATCTGCCATGGGTGCTCCCTGAGTTAGTGCTTTACAGAGCTGTGCTGACAGGACTGGGGCTTCATGCTTCCCCTCATTCAGGGGACAAATGCTACTCCAGCACTTTTTGTCGGGAAACAAAGCACTCTCTCCTCCCAAGCTCAGACAGTGTGAATGTTCCCTTTGTAGTCTGAGCCGTGATTTTGTAATCCTAAAGGTCTCTGGCCTGGAGTTAGGAGCCCACAGTGCCCTTCACAGGACTAGAGCAGACTGGGGTCTTAAAATCCTTGGTTTCATATAGCTCGAGATCCTATTTGCAGTTTGTGCAGGGTGCCAGGAGATACATGCTTGTGACATGTTAACTGCTTTAATCTGACCAAGCAGGACCACCTAATGTTTGTGCTTGTCTGTCTCCTGTGTAGGCAGCTACTGGGCATGGAGGGGCCTAGACAGCATCTAATCACAGGTTACTTTCTCCACAAGAAAGAAAGCAAGCAAGCTCACAAATTCAGGACTGTCTGATTTGTGTAATTCTTTCCTTAGTTTAGCTGAGAGGAAATGGTTTCCTTTGGCTTATCATACTTTCCAGACTCAGCAGTTCATATTGTTAGCACTGCTGATCCTGTTTGGACAGCAAATAGATGTAAGCAGGATGTAAAACACTGGGGTCTGCATCTTGCTGCTTTGGCTGGTGGTGTTATCTGCCTGGGAAATGGGAAACACCAACCGGCTTGCCTTTCATTTGGCAACAGTGAGCTGTGCTCCCAGTGAAACTAATGCCTGACTGGTGGCCTTCTACCTGTCCTTCCTGCCTGGAGGGGACAGCTTCTGCCCAAGCCTGTGTCAGTGACCTGTGAACCATGCACCTCTGTTTGGCTTGTGCCTCCCTAGCAAGGACCAGAATTGCCTGCCTGTATGGGAACATAATTGTCTGTCCTAAGTGGTGACTGGAGGGAAGTGATTGTTGTTGGAGTCCCTGTAGAGTTTGGGGTCCCACCATGTCCTGTGGGACATGAACAGTGCCTGGGACTGTTAGGAACTGTGCTCCAGGTCATGCTCTGTCAGTGTGCTCGCTACCAAGGCAATGCCCAGGATGGGCTAAAACTCTTCTGTCCTTCCCATCTTCTGGGAAGCTTAATGTGTTTGCATGCAAGGTCTTTCCATAGTTGTAAGGCTTAAAATGTTTTATCTATTACTTATCTCCTTTTAATTCTAGCTAACAGTGAGGATGCAGCAGACAAGTGTTTTTAGCATGGCTGGAGGGTGCAGTGGCTGGGGTGTCCCTCACTTATACATGGCAGTCTGATCATAGGGGAGAGCAGTGGCAGGGGCAAGTGCTCCCTGTCCTGGCAGCTGTGTCCTCTGCAGGCAGCCAGAGAGACTTGTCACATACCAGATCTGGGCTGCAGATGGCCAGCCTAGGGGAGGCATTTTCCAGAGCCTTTTGGAAGCAAAGCTTCACCTTATAACAGGCAGCCTATCAAGAGTTCCTAGGCAGCTTTGCAGAGGCTTGAGGCAGTATTTAGCCATCTGTGATGTGCTAGGACTGCTCAGATCCTGGCAGCCTTTGCCTGTGAGCTTGGGTGCTGAAGCTTAGTGTACACTGCAGAGGTAGGAGCAGGCTCCTGGCTGGTGTGGTCTGTGCTGCAGGGTGGTGAGATAGCAGTCCTGGTGCAGTTTTCTAGCCTGCTTTTCTGAGAAGGCCTTCAGAATTATCTCCAAAGGGTAACTTCAGCATTCCTCCTGGCCCTGATGGTCGCTTTTCAGCAAACTTCCTGTGTTGTGACCTTGATCTCTGGTGGTTTCTCCCTTATGCAGAAAACAGCAATGATTTGTCAGGCTGCAGCAAGGGAGGGCCTCTTAGGACACAGTCTTCATGTGTAAGCTGGAGGATCTTCTGCTGAGAAAGCTATTCTACTGCTCTTTAAAAGTTTGAGTAGTCTTGAAATGATGTTCTGGGTCTAAGCTGTTGGAATGAATGAAGAAATAAGCCTCCAAAGGAATGCTGGCTCAGTTTATGGCTCTTTGAAGCACTGGGAAAGGAATTCTGATCGTGTGTACCTGAAGGCAAGTGTGTAGTGCATGCAGTGTGATTCTTGTTCAGGACTGATGATCAGTCAGCTTCACTAAACCTGCTTATTAGGATTATTCTCTTGCAGCTGAGGTCTGTATCTGTAGACCTGAATGTTGATCCTTCTCTCCAAATTGATATCCCTGATGCCCTAAGTGAAAAGGACAGAGTGAAGTTCACTGTGCACACTAAGGTAAAGTCATGGGCAAAAAGGGGCTGTGCAAGTAACAGATGTATTTGCTGTACACATACCTGCAAAGATGGGCTTGGCAATGAAGAAAATCTAATTAGATGGAGATTTCCCACTTAAAGGTGGCCTGAGGATATGTGTATATATATGTGTATATATATGTGTATATATATATATGCAGAAACTTCAGATTTCCTAGGATCTGAACTCTCTTAACAGAGGCAAGTAGCTGATGGCTTTGCTAAGGAATCCTAGCTAGACACCAGAAGGGTGGGGGATAGGAAGGCAGCTACTGTGAAATGTCACAAAACAAACTGCATTAATGCTGTCCTACAACAGTACTTTTTTTTCTAACAGTCTCCTTAGTGGTGCTGTTGAATAAGTGCCAGCTCAGCTAAAAGGGAGTGGGCAAGGCTCTTAGTAAGCAGAATAGCTTCCTTTGGAAATGGACAGAACTGCTTCTAAAAGCACTGATTTACAAAACAGTAGGGCTTCTATATATTCTCTTCCAGACTACACTGCCAGCTTTTCAAAGCCCTGAGTTTTCAGTTACAAGGCAGCATGAAGACTTTGTGTGGTTACATGATACACTCACTGAAACTGAAGAGTATGCAGGACTCATTGTAAGTACTTCCTAAAGAATGTGATTCTAAGTGAAAAACTGTAGCAATCTAAAGTGCCTACTAATAAGGGCATGAAGTATGTTTTACCAGTGTTACTGGTGTTCTGTGACTTGGGTGTTCCCTACACTTCCCTACACTTCCTGTTGCCTTAATTCCTAAACAGTTTGAGTGGTATGGCATTTGTGTTAACTCTGCACATAGCTTGGAGCAGCAAAAGATGCTGTGAGAGTCCTTGACTCTGTGGTGGTATTAATATCTGCCAGAAGGTGGCACACTGAAGTAGCCTATTAAATGTGGGTTTTCCTTCCTATCATGATTCTTTAAGAGATGGCTGGCATTGGGGTGGATTACAGAAGCTGTTGCTCTGCGTTGGTTTCCCTCCTGGGGAGGGATGACACAAACCAGGAACCTGGAATTCCTGGATCATGCACTCTTTACCACACTTTCCTATGGCCAGGCAAAAGAGCCTCCTTCTAGAGAAGGCTAGAAGTAATCTTGGACAACTTTATTTGCTAATATCCATGACTAACCAATTCCATGCCTAGATACCTCCAGCACCTTCAAAGCCTGACTTTGATGGTCCCAGAGAGAAGATGCAGAAGCTGGGGGAAGGAGAAGTGTCCATGACAAAAGAAGAGTTTGCCAAAATGAAGCAAGAGCTGGAAGCGTAAGTAAAGGAGTCTACTGCCAAAAGCTACATATAGAGAAGCCTCCTGGGACAGCAACTCATTTGGTGATAACTGATCTTGAGTGTCTCTGTTTTGAAGGGTGTCTTGAAAATCCTGGAGCTGGGGAGTGGCCCAGCTTCTCCAGCTTTCAAGCTGGAAAACTTCCTAGCTAAAGAGATTGAAAGTAGCTTCGCTATCACAAGCTGGCCATTTCAGAAGTCTGCAGTTGAATATTTTCATGGGCTAAAATTAAAGCAATTCTTTGTATACTGAAGAGGGTAGTACAAAGAAGATCTGTCTGTTGTTTCCTTGCAGTGAATACCTCGCTGTCTTCAAGAAGACTGTCTCATCACATGAGATCTTCCTGCAGCGGATTGCTTCTCATCCTGTGCTCAGCAAAGATCGCAATTTCCATGTTTTCCTGGAGTATGACCAGGACGTGAGACTTTTTTCCTTGTTTCCCTTTCCAAGCGAGACAAACTGTTAGAAGTGCTGTTGTTTTTGCTGGGCACAGTCAGAATGTTCTGTGGACCTATGTGCAGCATCAGCAAGTAGATATTGCAAGTATTTCTGTGAGATGACTGAAGGGTGAAAGCCTGACCTTTACACCTTTCTCTGTTATAAATCTCACCGTGCTTTTAAATCCTTGTCGAGTTGCTTAGGAAGATGCCTTTGCATGTTTTTATCTTGGGAACATGTATGGCTCTGGTGTACCTGTGCTGTGTTGCATGGTCCTAAAGTGGAGGAATGTAGGTGTATTAAAGTCACTCCCAATTATGAGTGATAGATGCTGAGCCAAGATATGCAAGGAGAAACAGAGCTGTTTATGGGGATTGGAAAAATCCGTGGCACCAAACAGTTGAACTGCTTGTAACCAAGCCACGTGTTACATGTTACATTTTTATATGGGTATTATGGAGGGCTTGGAAATCAACCTGCTCTTTCATATGCTAAGTGTAAAGGATGTTACTAACATTGCAAGTATCAAAACAGTCACTTTTTTTCCCTCCCCGGGTATAACCTTAAAGCTGCTTTGGCCTCTCTATTACAGCTGAGTGTTCGGAGGAAAAACACTAAGGAGATGTTTGGTGGCTTTTTAAAAAGTGTAGTAAAGAGTGCTGATGAGGTCCTCTTCTCTGGAGTCAAGGTAAGGTTGTTGCTTTGTCTCTTACCCTAATTTTGATTGTTTCTTTCTTCCCGCTCCAGGGAAGTTACTCCAGGCTTGCTGTGCATGAGGCTCAGCTACTGACATTACCCTTCTTTGTTACTGCTCTCCCAGTTGAGGGGAGTAGCCTGTATTAATTTGATTTCTATAGAAATAAGACGCTGTAGCTTTCGGCTGTTCAATTTTAGTGTATAATTCAAGTTTCTGGATGCAGAAGACCTGCCTTAATACCTGATAATGGAGAGGAAGGAATTATACCTTCAGGAAATATCCTTGTGGCTTTTGTCTACTTCGGAGCTCTGAACAGACATGATTTATGGGTTTCTGCTTATACTAGACAAGATCAAATACCAAAGACTCCTGTAACTGGTCTTGCTCCAGCTTTTGTGTTGTGTTGCCATGGCAGCACTTCCCAAAAAGCTTGTTGTCCCATGAGCAGTGTCATGAAACTTTACGATATGTATCATGTTTGGTGTGGATGAGAAACAAGCTTGTAAACTGCTTTGTCCTTAGCTACAGTGTTGCAGCAAGCCTAGGAAATAAAATTCCAGCAGCTGGGAGTCCTGAGGGCTATCCCATAACTTACTGGCTGCTTCAGACAACCTGCATCAGTATTTGAGTGTGCCAACTTCATCTTCACTGCATAGTGAGGGAGAAGTTTGCCATGTGGTTTGGGATGTCAAACCCTTGGCTCACATCCTGTCTTGAACAGTTTTTCCACAGGGATTGATGGGCTTCAATCTCAGGCCCAGGTTATGGTTGTTTCTTTGGCCCTTGCTAAAATAGGGAAGAGCTTGTGTTCTGCAGTTACTGACTTAACAGGCCATGTTCTTTTTCAGGAAGTAGAAGATTTTTTTGAGCAAGAGAAGACTTTTCTTGTGAACTACTACAACAGAATCAAGGATGCATGTGCAAAAGCAGATAAGATGACAAGATCTCATAAAAGTGAATCTTTTCAAAGCCCTTTCCAGAGATCATGCAGTTTTGATGATTTCAGCCTGAAAACCTTGTCTTGTTCTTGCAGATGTTGCAGATGACTATATTTATACTTCAGCTTGTTTGAACAGCCTGGCATTAGAAGAGCCTACAGTTATCAAAAAGTAAGCAATACCAACTGTTCATAAACATATCCTGAGTCTGGGAATACCAAATATCTTCTGTAAAATCCAGAGGATTGAGTCATAGATGGTTTGAGGTTCTTGAATTGCATGCAAGTGGCATTAAAACTTTCCTTCTGGCACTCCTGCTGTGGCAGACTTAATGTTATCAATTGCACCTAACTCAGAACTAGTTGATCACTTGCCAGTTGTGGCCTAGAGGTTACTTGTGCTGGTCATCAAAATCCTTCTAAACAGAAATCTCCTTGATTCTCTTCAGGTCACAAACTGCTGGTGACTCCTGAAGAAAGGGTTTGTGTGTGTTCTAATGTGTTGTTAAATATAACTGCACTAGGTCAGCTTACACTAGGTCTGTAGTATCTTCTGGACCTTTGCACTTCCAGAATAGTAGGGGATTTTAAAGCCAGGGGAACTCAGTTGTCTTTTTTGAGGTGACTTCTTCCACCTTTTGACTTTGCTATCAATTTACCAAGACCTTGTTGAAACAGAGTGTATAGCTGAATAAATAAGTCAGCTCATCCCTCTTGGATAGCAGCAGAGAAATTCTCCAGAGGACCTTTATGCTCTGGAGATGAGCATTGTTACATTCAATGGTGTTGAGCTGCTCAGCTGTACTATTCTGGTAGGCTGGGATCCAGCACATTCAACCTTTTCTCTAGGTCTTTGCCTAAATGAGGTTTTTTTTTTTTTAAAGCCCTTGTTTGGATCTGTATACAGGAGTACACTCCAGCCTTCAGCTTTCTGGTTTCCTGCCAATTGATCCTGTCATTTATCAGACTAAGAAGTATCTCAAACTTATTTATGCTTTTTTTTTTTTTTTTTTTTTCCCCTTCACTAGGTACTTGTTGAAAGTTGCAGAGCTCTTTGAGAAACTCAGGGTAAGAAGCTTTGCTGGGGGTAGGTGTGTGGGGGGGAGAATCTCTGACTCTGAATGTTGCCGTTCTGTTACACACCAACTAACTGATTTTTTTTTTCCCTTCTGCAGAAGGTAGAGAGTAGAGTTTCATCTGATGAAGACTTGAAGCTCTCTGAACTGTTGAGATACTACATGCTCAATATAGAAGCTGCTAAGGTGAGAAGAGTTTTCTTTTTGAAGCTTAGTTTTGTTATGGGCAACATGACTCACTCATGGTATTCTTTGTGCTTTAAGAAGACAGGAAAGTGGACCCTTGTTTTGCCTAAGAAACCTGAGACTCTTAAACCACAGCAGAATATAGAAGCTATATATTAGCTAGCTGGAGCCCAGCCACTTACAGAAGACTTGGACCAATTTTTCTTTGGCATGTAAAGTGGAAGAACTCTTTAAATTTCTGTAAGTTAGAGCAAACTGAATTTAAGTCTGCAGCAGTTCTTTTCTTGTTCCTTGCCTGAGTAGTCATGGACTTGCCAATAAAATCAATGATTACTAATTAGTAGTTGGGATTGATTTCAGGATTTTTAGAGTACCTTAGCACAAATTCATGGTAACTTGTGAAGGCTATTGGAGTCTGAACTTCCAAGAGGGCTTTGGTAGATTGATGTGACTGCAAAAGCCTTGCTGGCAACACTTTTTCTAATCAAAACTTGATTTGACAGGGGAGATGACTATGCTGCAAAAATGTATCTAGGTGCAACCTACTGGGCCTCTTCATCTAGTGTCTGACCTGTAATGTCTGGTACCCCAGAACATCCCCAGCCTCCCTCCGTGGGTGTACTGTTATATAGACATCACAGCTGTACTCCTGCTGCATTAGGAAAGGATTGGCTCAGAGACCTGTACTACTTCTCCTGTCTAGGTTAGTGCCGTGCTTCAGTCAAACTGTCAGATCTCCAACAAATTAAATGTCTGCTGGAAGTAGACTGAGGGAATTCAGAAAGTGCTTTTTGCTCTTAGTAGAGACATCCACCTTACAGCAGGAGAAACGACTTTAAGGGAAGAAACGATGCCTACAGTAGCCCTTAGACTTCCTTCACTAAGGCAAAACTGGCTGTCCTGAAAATGTAGTGCTGCACTGTCAGAGGCTGCCAAGAGCAGGCTGTAATAGCTTGTTTGAAAAAGCAGAATCTGGTGTTGAAAAAAGTGAAACCTCCTGCTGCTTAGGTGGTTGTAACCTCAGTTTGGGAAGTAGTCCTGCTAAGGCTCTGGTGTGCTATTTCTGTCTCTTCAGGATCTTCTGTACAGACGAACCAGGGCTCTTGTTGACTATGAGAACTCGAACAAAGCTCTAGACAAAGCCAGACTAAAGAGCAAGGACGTCAGGCTGGCTGAGGCACATCAACAGGATTGCTGTCAGAAGTTTGAAAAGATTTCAGAATCTGCTAAACAAGGTAAAACAGGCTTTGCTGAACTTAGGCTTAAAGGAGAGCTTAATGCAGTCGAGGTCTCCATCTGACCTTCAGCTACTGAAGGCTCCTGAACAAACAGTCTGGACCTCCCAAGGACAGTAGAGATAGATGCTGTAAAACAGCTAAACATTTTTTAAAGCAATTTTCTGTAGCAGAGCAGTGTCAGTACTACACCAACCTTATTTATAAACCCCTAGTATTTGCTTTTTGGACTGAACTCAGCCTCCGTGTGACTGTAACTACTAGAGGGTAACTAAATATCTCAGTCAGAACTGTGCAAACAGGCTTTTGCTCTGTCCTAATACAGCTGAGTGCCTTATACAAGAGTTTCACACACTGGTTTTCAGTAGAAGAGTATATGTATGTATATTTATATATATATATATATTTATAATATGCTTTCATGGTATACATGCTGCTCCTTTTGTGTATTTGGCTTTTAAATAATCCACGTTCTCACAGAGCTTGTGTGGCTTATTTCTGGTTTGTTCCAGCTGTCTTCCTACAAAGCTTTTCTGTCTTAAGCTGTCTGTGTATCATGTGATGACTGCATCTCTTTCTAAAAACAGCATGACAAACTCTTGAACCTTTTTTTGATCAAATACTATAATCTGAGCTGCACAACAGAACTCCTGAAACATGAGGGGCATTGCTTGTCACACTTTGTCTATCTCTTACTTTTGTTTTTTCCTTCTCTACAGAACTGATGAGCTTCAAACAGAAGAGAATAGCAGCATTCCGTAAAAACTTAATTGAAATGGCAGAACTGGAAATAAAACATGCAAAGGTGTGTTTTCTTTGGAATTTAACAGCCATGGGTTGAGAGAAATGAGTAGTGTGTAACTGGGAGGATTTGCTGGGTCATCTGACTTCCCATCAGCCTCATCTGTGGGGTTTGACCCCTGCTGTGTCTAGAGGCAGCTGCTGCTTCCAGTGCTCCTGAATGCTGGCACAGGAGCACATCCTGCAGCTTGTGATCAGGCTGGCAGTCCTTGTCACTTGGCTTGTCAGTGGAGGGCATGTTGGCTTTATAGCAGCCTCTGCCAAGCTTTGCTAGGCAGGCTTGAAGGGTCTGTTAACTTAATGCATCCTCAGCTTCCTTTGAAGAAGGAAAGTCTAATGTCCCACTCCCTGAGAGCACTGGACTTTGCCACAGGCAGCTACTTCAGTGCTGAACTGGAATGTGACACGAAGCCTTGACAACACTGCTCAGTTTGGCCTACTTTAAAAGCTTCCTGTTGGCTCCTGCCCCTCTCCTTACCACAAACTGATTAATGGTTGCAGGCCTGCAGGAAGAGGCAGATTGCAGAATGTGTGATCTGGTTTTGGTTCTTTACTGCTTGAATGCTTGTCTTTGCAGTAGGAGATCTTTAGCATTGGCACAGGCTACAAAATCTGTGATGGACCCACTATTCGGGAAGCTACTTCATTGTGAAAGGCAGGATTTGAATTATCAGTCATCCTCATCTGAAACTAATTCTCTTCCTTTGCAGAACAATGTGTCTCTCCTGCAGAGCTGTATTGACTTGTTCAAGAACTGAGGAGTCTTACTCTGAAAATGTGACAAAAGCATCAATTGCACTCAATAGCCAGGAGCAACTTATTGGCTTGACTTCATTAGCTTAAAATAATATTGTCACTGAGATTGTTTCACTAATACTTAGGTATGTTGATAGTGATACATTGACTTTATTGGTATAAATGGGAGCTGAATTGTGTATGAATTGTCTGGATGTAGCTAACATCCTGTTGGCTGATAACTCAAAATGAGTCAAATGTAAGAAATTAATTTGCTGTTTTCTTCATCTAGCAGAAAAAGTTTACTGAGAACTCCTTTTTTGCAGGATCATAATCTGTCTCTTCATGGCCCTGATGTATTTAAAACTTGCCAAGTGAGAGTGACTAAAGGGTAATAATTTTATAAAGTGAATATCTTAGCATTCCACTTCCCAGACAGATTTCTACTACAATATATTTTGAATTTCTATAACTACATTCACTATTTGTACACTTGGGCAACACAGCAAATAAAGATGTCTGACACAACAAGCTGTTGTATGGCAAGAATTTGTGTGGGACGTAAAGTGACAAAGAGGCTTCAGACACAGAACTATCACGAATTACTCATCACCTGGAGCTCTTCAGAGCACTAGAGAGAAATATTTGACTCAAGAGGATTGTCTTGGAATGGGTGTTGAAATGAAATGTGTGGACTTCAAGTGACATTGCTGTTTGAGTGGTTGGCTGCAACTTTTACTTCTCCTGTGCTGCACATACAGCATTGTAATTTTATACCTCCTACTAGCAGCAAGAGGCTGTTTAAATCTTCAGGGCTTCTGGAAGCATAGGCGTGGACAGCCTTCTGTAAGGTATAAACCTCTTGAAACAGCTGGGCTCACAGTGCCACAGCTGAGGTGGCTCAGCCCACAAGCCCCAGGGCCATGGCTGGACAGTTTACTATCAGCTGGCATACATGGATATAGGTCAGTGAGTCAGACCCTCCTACAGGCAGCTTTTTGGTAAGATGAGTGTCTCAGCCTTGCTTAATTTCATGTGACTAAACTTCTAATCATGCTCAAAGTGGGCTCTGTGGCTGTGCTCTGGGCAGACTGCCTGAAGCAGCTTCAACCAGAGCAGCTCTGAGAATGGGCAGCTCTGTGGCAGTTTATAAGGGTTTACCTTCCTGTGACCTACTGCTTTTTCTTCTTGATACTCCATGAAAACTGAGCAGATTGTGCCAGCCACACCATCCTGCAGCAGAGTAGCTGAAGAATGTGTGAACTCCTTTTTCCTTTGTTTGGCAGGAATAGTTTCAACCTGGGGTTATTTGCCATAAGCACATTGTTTGTGTATATGTGGTGGCCTCTATATAGCTGATAGGTGACATTGATGATGTGACAGATGCCAAATAAGCTCCTAGCACTTGTCCTGGGGCCATCAGTGGTCCCAAACGGGATGGTTCATGCTGGCAAAGCTTTGTTTTTCCTAAAAAAGCATACTGTTTATCCTAAACTAGTTCAACCTGGCTCAAAGGCTCTTCTCATTTTCTCCAGAGAAAGGGTGCAGCTGTTTCTGCCATGGTAAGCACCACTTTATATCCCAACCCCAGAAGTGGCCCAGGCTGTGGTGGGTTTCATGCAGTGTTGGAAGCTGAGAGACCCTTTTCCCGTTTCAAACACCCTTTTGGAGCTTTTCCACGAGACTTTTTTTCTTGTGTGGTTGGCACTCTAAATTCTTGACATACCTCAATCCAAGTCAAGATATTATTGTGAACAGATTAAAAGTATGTCAAACACTTCAAATGGCTGTAATTATGGCTTTATACTGATGTTGCAGTTATTGTAATTGCAGTTAATTTACAATAACTCAAGAAAGCTGTAAAGCAGTCTCTGCCAATGCCACTGTTGCTCTGGAGGAAGCTGCTGCGTGTCAGCTGCTGCCAGCAGAGTGCATTGCAGTCAGCTTCAGCGTTGTGACTTGGAAAATAAGCGCCAGCATAGCTCACACCTCTGGAGGCCAGTGGGTGGCAGGCTGCAACAGCCACTGCTTACCTGCTCCCACGTTTCCCCTCAGGCTGAGTTGAGATGAAGTCCTGAAAAGGCTGCTGCATCCCCCAGTTTCTTACCTGGTAGCTGGACAGTTGTTGATACATAAGAGAAATTAGCTGTGTATGTAGGCAGCCTGCTCATAAGGAAGGACAGAAATATTCCTTTAAGGCATGTAATAGCACTGGACCTGCCTTTTCTTATAGCAGGGCCTTGAATAAAGCCTTAGCAGAATGAAGATCAGCTTGGGCAAATCAGTGTGATAAGGCAGGTTATCATCAATATGAAAATAAGTTTTTTAGAAATATTGCTGAGACTTAATTTAAAAGGCTGGTTGGGGTGGATGAGAGCAGAATCTCATATATGTCCCAAACAAAGATTAACTAATGTATATTTAGTGATCCCATCTGTAAAGCAGGTTAACTTTAACTTTGCAAGCTTGTTCGCCTAGTTTATGAGTTAAAAATTGGCTTTTGAGAACAGGCAGAGAGGCCTTATCACTGTGATGGTAACTGCTGTGAAAAGCCACATGCTGCAGATGTCAGCTCTTCTCTCCCTGTTTGAATGAGGGCAGAGGAAAATCTGCTGTTTGGTCAAATTTACTAAGGTGTGTTAAACATTCAGCTGTAGAAAAACTGCAGATGGGAGCCAAGCTGGTCCCATAAGAGAGGCTCAAAAACGTGCCCTCTTGTACAAGGCTGTGATTCCAGGATCTGCAATAAAATGGGTTTGTAGCCAGAGAAAGGGAATGATTAAGGATCAAATGTACTTCAGGAAGGAACTGGTTTGCCCTGACGTATGCAAGTAGTCATGCTTCTAGGAAGACACATCATTGATGCTGAGGCTGGCAAAAAAAACCAGAATATTTTGTGTGCTTTTGGGATACATAAAGCCTGGAAGAGCCGTGGGCACGTACTCTTTGTGCTCTTTATCCCAATTTATTCTGCTTTTCTCTATTCCATCCTCTTTCTTCTGGATTGCCCACTCTGTAGAGGAGCTCTGATCTGAGGCCCTTGTGCTACACTTCTGATAGAAAATGTGAATTTCTGCAAACATGGACTTGGGAAGGTTTTCTCAGCAGGTATTAAGTTTCTGACTTGCCGTCTCTTTCAACAGATGGGGAGAAGCTGCTTGTTTGTGCTGTGAAGCAGAGAGCTCTGCAGAGTTCCTGTTCTTAGATGGAGTTTTCAGTTCTTCCCTGCTCTCCCACCACTTGCTGCTATGGTTGAGAGCACAGTTAAGAGTGATTTCAATTTGTCCTCCTAAACACCTGCGTCACTGCTTGGTGAGAGTGGAATATCTGAAATGGGTTTGAAGTTGGTCTATTGGCGGATCACTGCTCACCAGTGAATGAGTGCAGCCACTGGTGATCCACGTAATCCCTCAGATTGCTGGCTGGCTGCAGCTTTGGATCTGCAGCTCGCTGTTTACCAAGAGCCGTGTTTCATCTGCTATCAAAATGTTGCCCAGTGGCTGAGCTCTGGTGTGGGCTCAGCTTAGCTTTTTGTTTACTTTTAATATTACAAAGCCAATGAGAAGGCCCAGCTGAGATCAGAGTCCAGCTCAGCTCGGTTGTCATGCTTGCATGCTAAAAATAATCCCTGCTAGGAGTGCTTCATGACTTAAACAGAGCAGCAGGAACAGTGCCTGTTTTACAGGACAGGGAATTCAGGTGGTGTCCGGAAAAGGGGACTTGCCTGTGGTTCCGTGGGGAGTTTTTGTCAGATCCAGGAAATTAACTTGATTCTGAAATTCCACTCTAGGGCTCCTGCTGTCATGATCAGCTGCTCTTGGAAGCAATCAAATGAGTGCTGGTGGTTTTGAGTCTGGCTGTCCCTTGGCTGCGGTTTGCTGCTCTTCTGTGCAGATGTGGCAACTGCCAATGTCACTGTTCTGCCTCCACTCCAATGCAGTGAAGCATTTCAGTCAGCTTGAGTGACTTTTAGTGCTCTCTTCTGTGGGTCTGCTTTACTTGGCAGTAGAATTGCAAGGTCACTTTCTGCAAGAGAGGCTGCTGGGGTCCAGGGCAGGTAGGAATGCATTGTGAGGGCTCCTGTGCTGGTGCTTTGGCTTGTCAGCACTCAAAGCTAGAGAGCACTGGACTGTGTGCACTCACTGCTTGCAGCACCTTAACCGCTCTTAGGTAAGACTGTAGAAGTCTTCCCTATCAGTTTAGGGATTCTCATTCCCTTTTTGTTCCTTGTATTTAATGTTGCTTTGCTGCTATTCAAAAACCTTGTTTCATTTGAGGAAAAGGCCCCTGAGAGTCTGACTCACTGAAATAAAACAGGAGTGAAAAAGAACTTTAAGGTTCCTGTTGAATGCTAGTCTACTGCCTGCTTTGAAAACAATGTCCTGCTTTATTATGTCTGGTTTAGTTAGGATCAAGTTTGTTCTGCTCCTTTGCCAAGGGATTTTAAAAGAAAAAAAGGTAGAAAGAAGAGAGCTGACTATGAAACAGAAGAGGGAGTTTAGATTGCACCTGCGACTCAGCCCAAAAAAGTACCTCAGGTTTAGTACAATTTAGTCAGGAGCTTCCAGCTCTTTCTTGAACTGCTCCTCTCTGAAGGCCTTGCTAAACAAAACCTCTTTAAGCATAAGAGGTTAATGAGAGATGTTCTAGTACCGTAAAACTTGAGATTTAGTACAATTTAGTCAGGAGCTTCCAGCTCTTTCTTGAACTGCTCCTCTCTGAAGGCCTTGCTAAACAAAACCTCTTTAAGCAAAACTTGAGACACCAATGGATGTAGTTTCATCATGAGCTCACTGTCACTGAAAGGGGATGGCCTCACTTCCCCTCCCATTTTGTTCTTGTTGCATGCCTTGGGCTGGTCCTGATGTTCGTGTGGCCTCAGGCCAAGCTGATGTAACTCGCTAAAATGGTGTGAGATGGGCCAAAACAAAAGCTTTTTGCCAAGTCTCTGCACTGAATCTGTGTCCCTGGAGCTGAGAAGCACACAGACCTAAGCAAGAGCAGCTCAGAGGGGGTGGAGAAGGACAACTTGGTGGGAAGGCTTAGCTTGGTTCAGCTGTGTT